ATTATTATTATTATTATTATTATTATTATTATTATTATTATTATTATTTGGGGCTTTGGGTTTTAGAGTGTTAGAGTCCATGACGGCGGAACAAAGCATGGCAGCAGTCTGAGCACACACATCTTGATCCACAAGTTGGAAGCAGAGACAGCGCGCTAACTGGGAATGGCAATGCCCTCGTACAGACCTGTGCTGCAGACATTAGCTTGGGGTCTCACGGGACCCTCTGAACACTCAGAGCCTGAGCAAGGTCTCAAAATGTACTGTGACTCAAAGAACCAAAATACATCTGTGACTCTCAGACTCTGTCCTATCACACGACACAATACTGGGATTTTTATTCACCGCCTTTTATATACAAGACCCGGGCTATTTGCAAGGACATCATCCCTTCTCATTTCCCCACCTACCAGGTGGGTGAGTCAGCACGTTCTGTTATCTTTAGTGCCCCACACCCAGAAAAGCCAGGACTGCCTCCCCCGTGGGTTGCTGTCCTTGGGAACACACGCCCTTTGCTCCTTCATTTTCTTATACTTCTTAAGCATAAGCTTCAGGACTTTCTTTCCTGACCTCCAAACTTCCTCACTACATGTAGAGGCAAGCTAATTTTAGAGTGCTGCCTCATAGCTTCTGGAGTCTCGGTGCCCACATTACTAGAAACTGCTCTCCCTCCCTCCCTCTTTCATAATATAGACACCATTATATTGACTTTCCCCAGCTCACATATAGTGGGCTCAATTTTCCAGGATTTATTGCAGGTTAATAAAATATATTTAATATTTGTAACTAAAGGAGGCATCGGGGCTGACAGGACCAGGGACTGCAATGTGACACAATTCCTGCCTGGCTGGGATGACTAGAATAGCTGGGACGTATTTAGTGTCCCTTGTGTCGTGTGTCTACGCTTCACCAAGTGCCATTAGAACTCCCTTCAGACCCATAAGGAAATTGGGTTTGAGATGTGAAATGGCTCTCACAGGAGGGGGTTGAGCCAGACCTGCCACCACGTGAGCCTGGCTCTGGAGTGGCAGAAACAGGGCCACCAGCAGTGTCGCTGCCAAGTAGCTAGTGCTTCTAGCATCGCGGGGGAAGCCATGCTAAAAGCATGGGCAGCTTCCCAACTAAGTTTCTGCTGCTCTGGAAAAATCAGAGGCTCTGGCTAGAGGGGACTCACATTCCCGTATGGCAACGTAGGTTTGCAAAGGAAAATGGCTTCCATGTTGCATTTCCTGTGACTTTGAAGCCCCTTCACCCAAGGAGTGCTGTCTTTTTCCCCAGTCCTGCCTGGACTGCTGTAACACCTGATCTGAATCGCTGAGAACCCCAAAGGCTTGCCCTTCCCTGCACTAGAGGCCTGTGACCAGTGAGTGAACAAACCATCGGCAGGAAGCACATAAGCTGCGTGGCCAGACCCGGCTCTTTGTCTCAGATACATGGAGGAGCCCCGCAAGGCCAGCAGAGCTGACCTGCAGTTGATGGCAGATACTCAGCTAGGAGCAGAAGGCTCATTTGCTGAGCCCAGGTAAACTGATAACATGCAGAGTGTACGCTAAGTAAATGTCTTATGTTTAATCTTTTTGCATTTGTATGTATGTGGGTACAAGTGAGCCACAGCACATGTATTTGACCAGAGGACAACTTGTGGGAGTCTGCTGTCCCCTTCCACCATGTTCTGGAGAGTGAACTCAAGTAGTCAGGTTTGGTGACAGTCAGCACCTTTACCTGCTGAGCCACCCTGCCCACTCAGTAAAGGTTGTTTTAAGGTATTGTTTGGGGTGCTTTGTTACCTAACAACAATCTCCCAAAGCCATTCTATGCACTATATAAGGTCTGTTGTCTCCCTTTTACTGCTGTCTCCACTTCCCCCTTTTGTCCCACATTGGGTTCTAGATTTCCTGCCTCATTCCTATAGAAACATATCCAGTGGTCCTGCAAAAGCCTACATTTTTGAGACTTATGAGCAGAAAATATTTATTTGAGGATATAGGACATGAGTACTGAAAAAGAGACTGATGGAAGAGGGAAGATTGAAAGTGAGAAAGACAAGGCAATGAGAAAGGCTAGCTGCCTTCACGTATGTCACCTGCACATACCTGCTCTGCTCTCTCGTTCAGCAGAAAGGAGCACCTGAGGAAGACAGTGACGACATCCTCTGTGCTTCCTCCAGCACCCTGATCTCTAAAAACTGACCGTCCGTTTCCACCTGGCAAGCTTTTCAAGTTTTGTTTGGGGATTTGTTGTTGTTTCTGGGGTTTCATTGTCACAGGCTTTGTAGTAATTTATTTAGTTAACAAGCAAGATCTTGGCTATGTAACCCTGGCTGGCCTGAAACTCTCTATCCCCACCAAGCCAGCCTCAAACTCACAGAGATCCTCCTGCCTCTGCATCCTGAGTACTGAGATTAAAAGTATACACTATTATGCCCAGCCAAGTTTTGGTATGATGAGATATGATGTTACTACATCGTTCAGGCTAGCCTTGAACTCACAATCCTCCTGCCTTGGTGCCTTAAAAATACTTTTATTTATTTGTTTGTTTATTATTATATAATATATTGTATATAATAATATAGTTTATATATTATAATATATAATATAAAGAGCTACAGGCAACTAATGGCCACCAAGAGAGGAAGACTCAGACTTTAAGTCTGAACCTCCTAATGGGTTAAACAATGCCAAAGGCTCAGCCCTTATTTGTATCTATGATCTCAGATCATATGCATATGAATAACACTAAATATGTTTGGCATGATATTTGTGTGTGCATATATACATATATGTGTTACATATATATATGACAATAATAGCTAAAGAAGAAGATGTCATGAGTTTGAGAGGAAGTTGAATGTGACCCAGAAGGAGTTGGAGGCAGAGAAAGGTGGGATTAAATGATGTAAATACAGCACTCATGTATGAAATTATCAAGAAATGTGAAAAATAAATAAATTTGTGATAGAAGGAAAAAGGTAAAGTAAGAACCAATAATGAATCAAATAAACAATAAGAGAAATCTATTTTTATCCACACACACCAAAAATATCTTTAATATAGAAAAGGAAACAAAATGATTTATAAGAAAATATCCACAAAGGACTCTTTAATGTCCAAAAAGATGGCAAACTTGTCTTAAGATAAATGGGAAATAAAGTCAGACAGAGACCTCATCCTGGCCTAACCCAGTGGAAGCATCCTAAGGTTTGGTGACACGCTACACTGGAAAGGCTGTAGGAAGACAAAGATCTGCTGCTGATAGAAATACAAATGGACATGCCTTTACAGGGAGGTTCCAATCAACGTTATCCCTTCCACTTCTGAAAAATGTACCTTGCAGCCCAGTAAGATGACTGCAGATCTTGAAAAAAAAAAAAAAATGCTATAGGCCTGCCCGTGATACTGAGAGAATGGAAACGAACCAAATGTCAACTTAGAGACATGGGTCAAACTGGCATGACCACCTGGTGGAAGAGTCTGCTGAGTGTCAAAGGATGAGGAATGACGTGTTGAAATGGAAGGACTTCCAGAAAAGAGATAGATGTAAAACTGGTTTAGAAGTTTAGTCCATTATGGTGGTCCATGCCTTTAATCCCAGCACTCAGGTTAGGGAAGCAGAGGCGGGTGAATCTCTGTGAGTTCAAGGACAGCCATTGGTTCACAGAGAAACCCTGGGGACAGGGGAAGAAATAGTAGTAGTTAAGAAAATAAGATTTTTATTCTGTGCATAGTGGTGCACATCATCAATCCCGGCACTTGGGGGGGGGGCAGAGGCAGGCAGATCTCTGAGTTTGAGGCTACCTTGATTGAGTTCCAGGGCGGCCAGCACAACACAGAAAAATACACTTGTACATACAGAAGAGCGCTATCCATAGAAATCCAAACTGACAGGAGCATAAGGAAGATGTAGAGCTTTGTTTGAGAGCACTGAGATGCTAGCACTGCCTGGCAGTAAGGCCTTCCTGACTGACGGAGGCCTGGGTGCTGACACAAGCCTGAAGCAGCCTGAGCAGGCCCAAGCAGGATCAAGACTTGAACTGTCCCCAGACATGTTACTCACACTGCAGCTTGGATGACACCCTGGATCTCCTTCTGCAGTTCCGGCTCCTTCTGGTACGCCTCGACCAGCAGCAGGGCCTGGTCATAGTTGGCACAGTAGAATTTATAAACTTGTTCAAACTCCTCTTGGAATTCCAGGAATAAGTTACCTGATGGCGGACAGGCAGCAGAAGTTATCAAGGGCAAGTGTGTATGTCCCTTGCTTGGAGTGGGGAGTTCTAGGATGAGGCTGCCAGGCTTCCCAGTATGTACAAGCTATTTTGCCTACCTGTTTCTTTCTTGCTTTGGTTTATTTTTTGTTTGTTTGTTTTGGTGGGTTTTGTTTATTTATTTTGAGACAGGGTTTCCCTGTATAGCCTTGGCTGTCCTGGACTTGCTTTGTAGGCCAGGCTGGCCTTGAACTCCCAGAGATCTACCTGCCTCTGCCTTCCTGAGTGCTGGGATTATAAGCATGTGCCACCGTGCCCTGCTTGCCTTCCTGTTTCTATTTTTCATCTGTTTCATAAAGTTGCTGAGTAGGTGAGTAACAAATGATGGAGAGTTCGGGTTCTTTTTTAAAAAATATATAATTTATTTTTATTTTAGGTGCATTGGTGGTTTGCCTGCACGTATGTCTGTGTGAGGGTGTCAGATCCCTGGAACTGGAGTTATAGACAGTTGTGACTTGCCATGTGGTTACTAGGAATTGAACCTAGGTCCTCTGGAAGAGTAGCCACTGCTCTTAACCTCGGAACCATTTCTCCAGCCTTAAGTCCAGGTTCTTAAACTGTAGGTCATGACCCCAGAAAGGGTTTTCTGGAAACCCGAATGTGGGCTCTAGAAAAGTTTGGCAAGAGTAAAAACTTTCCAAACACAGGGCAAACACAGATCAATTCTAAAGCAAAACTATATGAATCCAATGTGCCCCTGGCCACATCCACCCATGTGGCATCTGCGGCCTTGCTTTCGAACTCACAGCATTCTCACTTTGCCCTGTGGATGTCCTCACGTCACACAGCTCCAGTGAACACTGCCCACGATCCCTCAGTTCAGATTTCAGGCTACTGTGTGATAGGAGCTGTACATACACTGTATATATAAAGTTTTCTGCTCTCACAGAAACAAAGTGGTTTAATTGTGAGAACCAAAGACTTTTCATATTTTTTCTGCTCTTTCCCCCCTACGTATCTTTCGATTGCATTGTGTTAGAGTACCTGATTTTAGTCTTTTCTGCTTGAGAGGACTAAAGAAATGCCTTAGTAGTTCATAGCACTTGCCATTCTTTCAGAGGACCAGAGCTTGGGTCTCGGCACCCACACCGGGTGGCTCACAACCACCTGTAACTCCAGCTCTGAAGAATCCAATGCCCTCTTCTGGCCTCTAAGGATACCTGAACACATATGACATAGACACACACATACACACACACACATACATACATAGAAATAGATAGATAGATAGATAGATAGATAAATAAATAAGTAAATAAATAAATAAATAAATAGATAGATAGATAGATAGATAAATATATAAATAAATAGGTAGACTTCGCTGCTTGGCTTGAGTTTCATTTTTTAAAAATTGTCAAATTTGGGCCTGGAATTAGGACATAACTTCCAACATTTTTTTTTAATGACCTGGGACATCTTCCTAAGCCTCCAGGGAGTTCCCTCCAGCCACAGGCCTCCAGACTCCTGACTCCTGCTAATGTAGCTGAGCACTAAGACACAGGTATGATGACAAGCATGGACAGATCCAGCTTGGTCTTTTCTGAATGTATCGTACATCCTTTAGACCCCCAAGGAGATAGTTCCCAAGGGGTCCTGCTGCTTGGTCATTTCTGCCTTCTGCAACATACCATCTCCCCAAGCTGGTGGGGGTGAGCATCGATGTTTTCACACAGCCGACACTTCGATGAATGTCCCTACAACCTTGTCTGAGTTTAGAAGCAGAATAGGTCAGTTTTCTTTGGCAGCTGCCAGCCTAGGGGACCCAACTCACCATCTCCCATCGCAGCACTGTGAGACATGTTTGTTTCATTCGGGATAGATTTTTCTCTAGGTAGTTCAGGTTGCTCTTGAACTTTTTCTTTCTTTAAATTGTGTGGGTGTGGTGAGGGAGGGGTGGGCTGAGGCACAGGTATGGAGTTCAGGAAACAGTTTTATATATCACACGGGTTCTCTTTCCACCTTTGGTGATTTTCAGGTTGCGAGTAACATTACCAGCTGAGCCATCTATTTAGCCCTAGTCTCCACCCTTTGACCTATTTGCCTCAGCATCCTGAATGTTGAGGTACCTTAACAATTGCTTTATGCCTGGCAGTGGTGGCACTCAGGGGGCAGAGAAAGGCAGATCTCTGAGTTCAAGGCCATCCTGTTCTTCAGAGTGAGTTCCAGGACAGCCAAAGCTATACAGAAAAACCTGTCTCAAAACAACAACAACAACAAAGCCAACCCCCCAAAAAAATGCTTTGTGCCTGTTGTAGTTTCAGTATTCATTTCCCTATATCAGCAGTCTGAACATCCTCACACATCAATGGAATATTAGAAAGTTCCATGCCCCTTCTATTTAAAAAACTACTTTTATCATTTTTTTAGAGAAAAAAAAAGTAATTCATCTGTCCTATAGATAAATTGTAACAAACATTTTTATTCTAAAGGAAAAGAGTTTCTGTATTGGACATGTGAGGACATTTTCTTGCTGTCATCATTCCCTGAACAATACAGTATAGCAACCTTCTACATATCATAAGTGGTCTAGAGATGCTCTCAAGTATGCAGGAGAGCCTCACAGGGGTAATGTTAATTCCATCCCCTTTTATACAAGAGATTTACTTGAGCACCTGTTGGGAGGGGGTGGTCCTGGAAAACCATCCCTTGCATATATAAATGGATGACTGTGTATTACAGGAGTCAAAGTAAAGCCAAATAAACATGAAAGACTGGGTGTGGGGCTGGGGAGAGGTATCTAATTGAGGAAGGCTTCCACAGATATTGTGACCATCTGCCAGAGAATAGAAGTAGCTACCCTGGGGAAGATCAGGGGAGGAGCAACTCCCAGGCCTATGGAAGCAATGGCAAGGACCAGAGTTAGGTGACTCTGGCCTGAGGATAGCCACAGACCCTGGTGTGTCTGGAGCAGAGTGAGCAGGCACAAAGAGGAGAAAACAAATGGGACACTAAAGCCAAGTTGCCCAGGGCATCTGAGTCAGTGGGGTGCAGCAGGCGCTCAGTTTGTATTCCAGTGGTGGCAGGATGCTGTGAGAGTGGTTTGAACTGGCATCTCATGTCAGCTTAATTTCAAGAGCAGGTACGAGCCAGGTGTGGGGGTGCATGCCTAGAACCCCAGCAGTCAGGGAGGCAGAGGCAGGAGCATCTCTGTGAGTTCAAAGCCAGGCTGGTCTAGAAAGAGAAAACCTGTCTCGAAAAACCATACCAAACCAAAACAAACCAAACCAAAACAAAACAACGGGTACAGTAAAGCTAGAACAGCATAGCAAAGATGAAACAGACCCCATGTGATTCCCTAAAGTGATCTGTGTCTTTTAATAGGAAACTGGTTACTTGTAGGGAGCAAGTGGAACTAGATGGGAAGAATAAAGGAACGGGGTGGCACTGCAGGGATAAAAGACAAAGAAAACTGCTTCATTGAAATAAGTTTGGGACAATCCTGACTTTTGGCACTGTGGTCGTTTTTCTATAAACCTAACAGTGCTCTAAAATATAGTCTATTAATTCAGAAAAAGTTAGGGTCTGAAGAGATGCCTCAGCAGTTAAGAGCACTTGCTACTCTTCCCAGAGAACTGGGTTCGATTCCCAGCACCCACATAAGGGCTCACAGCCATCTGTAACTCCAGTTCCAGGAGATTCAATGCCTTGTTCTGGCCTCTACGGGCAGCAGGCACTCAAGTAGCACAGAGACAAATATTATGTATTTGTAGTGCATGTAGCACAGGCAAAATATTTATCCATACAAAAAGTAAAAACAAATCTCATGCATGTGTTAAAAGCTTAGTCTTGAGAAAGACGTGAGTAGGCCACAGAGATCAGAAGCTATGTAAGGGCCCTGCTGCCTCTGACACACCCAGACTTCCCCTTTGCTTGATGTTCCCTGGAGTCCTGGAGCCAGTTCTGCGGTAACTACAAGCTGAGGACAAAGATGTAGGGAAGCAAGGCCTACACTGGGGTCATTTGCCTACCAATCAGGTATGCTTGTTCCTCTTCCTTGCCAGCTGTCTCCTGCAGCCTGTGGAGGAATCTGCTGCTCACTTGGATGATGTCATCCATGTTTGAGAACAGGACATCCAGATCTCCTGGTGGCAGCTAGAAGCAACAAAAATGCCATGGGCAGAGACTGGAGGTCTGGAAGGGGGCTTTAGGGAACAGTCCTGGGCAATCACTCATACCATCTGGGGGCCTGGTACCCTTGGGAAGACTGACTGCCCAGTGAAATGTTGGGAAAGACTTAGGAATAGTATAAGTTAGGTCTCCTCATTGCTCTACATGAAAAGGAGATATCAGTTTCAGCATGGAAGGAAAGCTTAAGGCCGAGGAGTGGGGAAGCAGGGGGTGGGCAAAAGGTTAATGTTGTGATTTGAATGCAACATAGGCTCACGTGTTTAAACAGTTCCTCCCCAGCTGGGACATTATTTGGGAAGCCTATGGAATCTTTAGGAGTTAAGCCATGCTGGAGGAAGTGGATTAAGTGGATTAATAAAGGTGGACCTGAAGGTTTTTCAGCTGGCTTACAGTTCCTTCCTTGCCTATCCAATAGCTTATTTAATTCACTGCTTGCTGCTCTTACAGAGGGGCCAGGTTCGTTTCCCAGCACTCACGTGGTGGCTCACAACCATCTGTAACTCCGGCTCCTGAGAATCCCATATCCTCTCTGGCCTCCTCAGGCACCAGGCACACACACAGAATACATAAACATATGCCTGCAAACACTCATACATAAAAAATAAGTCTTCAAAAAATAACTTTGCAAAATTATGTTACAGAAGAAGACAACAATGAGATTTTTTATAATATTTTAAGTAAGTTCACTATTTTGTGTCAGGCTGTGTTCACAGCTATCCTCAGCCTCTATAGCCTATAGGCTGCAAGTTGGACACGCCTAAGTGATTCAAGGCCTTGCTGAAGGTTGCATGGCCAATCAATGAAGACCTGTAGTGTGTGTGTAGGGTTGTCAGGCTCCCACCCACCAAGGGTCCTTTCCAACAAGCCTACCCTGGAATGATGAGAGATCTTAGAGTCAGTCCACACCTGCTCCTATGAAGATAGGTCGTAGGGGGCCACATCAGTACCTGCTGTAGGTGGCTCCTGATGTCAGAGGCACAGAGTCGGAGCATGTGCAAGTAGGAGACCTCTGTGTCAATGAGCTCTCTGACGGCCAGCCTCTGATGGAGCAGCGATCTGTCCTCAGAGCCCCGGCCTTCCTGCTCAGGACTCTCTGACCTGGAAGAGGCCTCATCTGCTCCGAAGTCAGCCATGTCTAGAGGTTCTGGTAAAAACAAAACAAACAAAACAAAACAAAACACCTCAATTCAATTGTAAAGTAGGTCTCATTGCATCTCCTGAGAAATGTTGACCCTAACTTGACAACTTCCCATTAAGTAGCCTGCAAACAGAGTCAATGGACTGTTGGCATTTGTGGGTGGTGTCTGGGCAATAGGAGAGGACAAACAACAGCTCAGGTCATTGCTGACGTATGAAATTCATTTCCAAAGTGCTGCCCTTGCCTCAAGGCACCAAGCAGCTGGCACCACTATGGTGAACAAATGTAAGATGGAGAGCTGGGAAAGACAGAAAAACAGAGCTGTACATGTGCTATGGAGAGAGGTAGAACTAGAGATGTGATGGCAGTGACAGATGAGAGGGCTGAGGTTGATATGGTGTCATTGACCAGTAGGGTCAGCGGGATGGTGTTCAACAGCCCAGAGCTTCTCTGAGGCAGACTCAGCTCCTGAACCTGCTGCTCAGTCAGCCGAGAAATCTCCTGGCTCTGGGCAATGGGGGAGGCTCAAGGTAAGGAAAGGTTCGCTTTCTGGATTTGGACCTCCTCGAAGGACCACCTTGGTCTGTGATGCCATGTTGATGTTTGTAGTTCATGCTGCCACCACAGGCTTCAGTAAAGGCTGAGATCCATGTGGACATATGCAGTCTGTGCTGCTGCCTGATGTCTTGGGGCTTTGCTGCCCTGGGAAGGGGTGGGGACATCCTTGGCGTGTGTAGCCACCTAAGGCCATGTTGAGGTCCATGGTCTGTATAGCCATTGACAACCATGAGTGGTTTGGTGGTCCTGATATGACATGACCAAGGGCTGTGTTGATGCCTGCAGCTACTGAAGCCCATGCAAATGTCCATGGGCTGGTGCCTGAAGCCATGTTAATGTCCATAAGTGCACGAAGGCTGGCCTGCCCCTCTCCGGCTACCTCAAGGCTTTCCTCAGATTGGCTTCTAGTGCAGATTCAGGAGAAAGACTCATCCTCCCCTAGGGTGGGAGCTGGCCACTAGGAATTTGACCATGCTCCAGTGAGTATATGAACAACATAAAATGGATTTTTTTTTCCTTTTTCCACTTCTTTTTTTGTGGGGAGGGGAGTGGCCATGGAAGGGGTGGTGGACATGGGAAGACAGGGAGGTGAACATGATGTCATGCATGATGTGAGATTCCCAAATAATCAAAATGTAATTTAAAAAAAAAAAAATATTTTGTAGGAATCAATGTGCTTTCCTAAAATTTTTCTTGTTTTTCTTTTCAAAGTTTGATCCAGATTTGTTCGTTCATTTTAAAAATACATTAATGCTGGGTTTATAAGGCCATGCCTGCGTGGAGATATACATGTATTCTGATCACATTTCCATAACCAGCACCCCTTCCTTTCTATGTCCTCCCCTTTGCACCTATATGAAAGCAAAGACCCACAAGTTAGGGATGACCTGTGATACCTGTCTTTCTGTGACACACTTAACATGATAGCCCCTGGTGCATTTGTTTGCCTACAAGTGGCACAACTCCATTCTCCTTTACGGTTAAAAAGAAATCCTACCGTGTCAAAGCTGTACCATTCCTTGATTGGTGACCACCTACGCTGTTCCCGTTACTTCGCTACTGTGAAAAGTGCTGCAGTAAACAATGACGTGCATGCATCTTTGAGAGGTGCTGACTTGGAACTTAGTTGGTGAACACTCAGGAGTGACATAGTTGTTGACCCAAATTTCTTTATTTGGCTCAACTAAGTCGTTTCCCCTTTTCTCCCCATGGTCCCTGGCTCCCATCCTCAATCATGACATAGAGCCTATGCCCAGGTGATTTTCTTTCTTTTTTACTTTTTGGTTTTCGAGACAGGGTCTCTGTGTGTATCCCTGGCTGTCCTAGAATGTGGCAAGAGTCAGGATAAGCCAAAAGAGGCCTGGAGGGAATGGCGAGCGAGGCACCAGCAGCTCCTACAGCTCCTCTAATGATCCTGATCCACTCCACACAGTGTTGATCTACCAGGGACTCCTAGAACACTAGTGAAGTCTCAAAATGGATCTGGGCTAGGGCAGTGACTGCTTCCCCCTTCTTGACAGAAGTCTCCTGAGATGACCTTGCCCCCTCCCCACATTTCCTTGTAGTTGCTCCAACCTGACTGATTGTTATTGGTTCTTGAGGCTAGCAAGGGATGGTCTGACTGGCCCTTCAATCATATAAAGGCTTTTACTCTGCACAATAAAGTTAGATCTGCACCTTGAGTCTGATTCCTGGGATTGTGCCTAGGCTCCACCATCACTTATCCACCTCCCCACCCTCCACCCCCACCCCATTCTTTATCCCCACAGCAGAACTCAACTCTGTAGACCAGACTGGTCTCAAACTCAGACAGCTGCCTGTTTCTGCCTCCTGGGTGCTGGAATTAAAGGTGTGTACCACCATGCCCAGCTTTGCCAGGTGATTTTCACAGGTTCCAGGACCATCTTTCTGCATCAAGACTTCTCTCCAATGCTGCCAGCCATTCACATTCATCCTGGATGTGGACCCGGGTTAAAGTCCCTGAAACAAGCTGTGGTCACGGAATTCATTCCTTGCCTGCTGCCCACAGCATTCACAGCTCCCTCCTGCTCAGCCTCACTCTCCCCTCCAGCCAGAGAGAAGGTGGTGCTTTTCTCTAGTTCCTGTGCTTCTGCACCTGCTGTAGCCCTCCCGGCCTCCACCCTGCAGCATTCTTCCTCTCTAAGCCTATCCTTGATCCTCACCTTTCCCAACTCTAAACCTCCTACCTACTCATTGTCTCTTAAGTTTTAATACTGCATAGATAAGGCAATCATATGGACAAGATGACCTGGAAAATCTTTCTACTACAAAACACTTAGGGATGCCAGAATGGGTGTAACTCTAACTGCAGGGCAGGGCTTACAAAAGCATAAGAGAAATCTCCAGGGAACTAAGTCAGAGCAGGGGTGAGTGAGTTGGTGCCATTGTGGCCACAATGGAGGGGACAAGGAAATGATTGCAGCCAGTTTCGGCCAACTGGGAAGTTAGCAGGAAACACACTCCCTTAGTGAAATGATGAGTCAGGGGAAAGACTCCACCCACCAAAGAAATAAATCAAGAAAGAGAAAGGAGACTATGATTGACACACTGGAGCAGAACCAAAGGAATCCTCAGAGGAGGGGAGGAAAAACTAGAGCTGACATGCAAAAGGAAAACAGTCAGGACTAGAGAACTTCAGAAGGTTAGGAAATATCTTGAGAATGGATTTATTGAATTAGTATAGAATTTGGTATTTAATTGAGGGCATTTACACAGACAATCCATAAAAACTAAGAAGCTAATCAACCAATAAAAAAATTTTATAGCAATTTTTATACAAAAAAGATAAAAGAATCTTGAATCATTTCTGGAGGAAAAAAATAATGTGTATAAAGACTAGTACCTGAACAGAGAGGCCCCCGGGGAGTCCCCATTTGGTGTATTATTGATTCATGCCTCTTTCTTTCCAGTCATATCTTCACATACTTGTCAAAGTCAGATAGCGTCCCAGTCTCGGGCCTCCATGTCTGGTTAACACCATGGCCAAATACACCTCTGGTGCTCTTCTCCTGTTGATCTATTGACAATTTATTTCAGAAGACTCAAATATGAGAACTTCTGAGGTAAAGCGTGAAAGTTGTCAGGCCTGGGAACAAATGCCTTTTACCCAACTGAGCTTACTAGTCACCCCATTTTTATATATTTTTATAACCTTGATGCAAACTGAAAATTAACTGGAAAAAAAATGAGATTTTTCAACTTTTTGTGAATTCACTATCATCATCATCATCATCTTATGGGATGGATCTGTAGCTCAAATTCTTATGTGGTAGTAAGAAACAGAGGGCCAGTGAGGTGTTCAGTGGGTAAAGGCACTTGTTGCCGAGCCTGAAGATGGAAGTTCCATCTTCATGGTAAAAGAAGGGAGCCAACTTTTAAAGGCATTCTCTGGATGCGCTTGGTCCTGATGTGACTTGATGTTTTTGGATGGGTTGGCGGGAGGATGGGGGGCTCCCCTTTTCTGAGGAGTAGAGGAGAGGGATAGGGAGAGAGGGAGGGACAGTGGGACTGGGAGGAGAGGAGGGTGGGTGCTACGATTTGTAAAGTGAACAAATTTAAAAATAAATAAATAGAAAGGTGTCCTCTGGGGGGCTGGAGAGATGGTTCAGAGGTTAAGAGCACTGGCTGCTCTCCCAGAGGTCCTGAGTTCAATTCCCAGCAACCACATGGTGGCTCACAACCATCTATAATGAGATCTGGTGCCCTTTTCTGATGTGAAGGCATACATGCAGATATTGTAAATTATAAAAAGAAACACACACAGAAGTTACATGGGCCCTTTATGCAATTTCTCACAGGGTCAGTTGCAAAGCTACACTCAGTACAATTACTAGTCTGCTGATGATAGAGATCTAGAACATTCCACCTTCAAGTATCCTTCATTTGCCTTTCCTACATGCCTCCAATGCCTCCTGGGTATGGCGCTCTGAAAAAAAAAATTGTTTTAGTTTCTTTTAAAATGAGACATCTACTTATCACCTTCCTAGGCTCCTATGCATCTAACCCAGAAAAGAAAATGTAGGTCCATACAAAAATCTGCATGTGAATACTCACTGAAGCTTTATTTGTTATGCCAGTGACTGAAGACAATAATAATGCCCTTTAGCAGCTGAATGCCTGAGCAAACTGGTCCATCAGTGCCACTGAACGGCCAGAAATGAACACAAACGAACTACGGACACACAGAAATGGCTTGGTTGGGCTCCCAAGAAAATGACTCTGAATAAAACAACCTAGAAGGTTACTGTCCTTGGTAATTCCACCTAATGACATATGGAATTACAGACAGAGGACAGGTTAGTGGCTGCCTGGCTAGGGGCAGGGCCAGACAGCAAGTGAGCAGGACTACGGTTATGAAACAAGCCTGAAGTAGCATTGGGCAGTGGTGGAGATTATGCAATCCATCACATGATAAAATGGTGTGGGAT